CCCCTTGTGCTTTTTTAAAAAAAAATTATTTTCACGTTCCACTGTGTTGTGACAACAGGGTTCAATTGGGGTGGTTATTGAGAAACTACCACCTAAAATATTCATGGGACCTTGAGGTGCCATGGTTTTAACCCAGGACATGTGCTCCACCACTTTGAGCCATCTCTCTGCTCCTTCCCTGGTTTCTTAAGCCTTCTAGGAACCACTTTTCTTTGTTACAAATTGGTTTCTGTTGCTAGTAAAGGTTGCTTTGATCTATGTTACCTAAATCTCTTCTCTGTATCTGTTTTGTGGGACTTGCTCTGGACATTGGTTCTTCACTTAATCCTGTTTTTCCTTATACTTCTGTAACTATGTCTCAGATTTAGGCTTAGGTGAAGACTTGGATCAGAGGATGGCTGTTATGCAGCCATCACAAGGTGGGCACAGGCAGGATGCACTCCTGTGAATAACTGATAACATCAATGTCAAGGCTATGTTTTTAGCAGGAACTTTTTTTTGACCAGTTTAAGGGGGCTGGAGTGTGTATGGCGCCTGCTTTGCATGCTTCCTGCCTGATTTGATCCCAGACATCTATTTGGTCTCTGATACTGAAGTAAGCTCTGAGCAAAGCCAGGTGTGACCCAAACACTGCACTGTACTGCACTGTCCTCCCGTTGTTCATCGATTAGCTCGTGCAGGCAAGATACTCTCGGTAGCTTTCCAGGCTCTCCGAGAGAGGCGGAGGACTCGAACTCGGATTGGCCAGGTTGGCTAGGTCAGCCACATGCAAGGCAAACACCCTACCCGCTGTGCTATCCCTCCAGCCCAGGCCCAAACACAAAGAAACAAAAATATTACACCTCAACCAGTTTATGTTGCTATTTCCCACATTTAATTTCTACAATTCCTTTCTGTGATTGCGATATTTTTTCCCTTTTGTTAATAACTGTGTTAACACTCATCATTTTATCCTTTCCATGTATGTGGGGGGGGAGGTGCAGGAGCATGGTGATAGGTGGCAGTGCTCAGGGTTTACTCCTGTTTCTGTGCTCAGGGATCACTTCTGGTGGTCCATGTGCCAAGGTTCATACTTTGGTTGAATGCAAGGAAGTCACTTTATCTCCTGTACCATCTGGCCCTATGCTTGTCACTTCTTGGGGGGATAGGGTGGGAGGTGGGCACACCAAGAGTTACTCAGTGGTTACTGCTGACTGCACTCAGGAATGACTCCTGACAGTGCATGGGGAACCAGGTGGGGTGCCAGGGATTGAAACCAGGTCACCTGAGTGCAAGGCAAGTGCCCTACCCCTGTACTACCTCTCCAGCCCCACATACACTTCACCTTTACCACTGACTTCCCGCCCTGGATGTCTGTCCTTTGGGGCTGCACATTTCACCTCCCCCATCTCTGTCACTGCTCTTGCTATAGCACTTGTCATTCGTTGATCACATATTGAGATGATCACAAACCCAAAATGTGAGCCTGAATAGCAGCTAACCCATTGCAATGGGATTTTCATAGGCTCGGATCTATTCAATTACCCCAGCTACAATACACAATATAGTTCAGGAAGGCAGAGACACTGGACGCTTGGCAGAGACTTTGGTTGAGTCAACCTGCCTTCTTGCATCATGTTTCACTTGTGTCTCTCTTCTCTTTCTACTCTCTACCATTTTGTAACCTTGGCGGCCAGTCATGGATGACACTTAGCCACTCCTTCATCTGATTCTAGCTCATTTATGGAAAACCTACTGTAAGCTTCTTCCTACATGTGACAGATGTAGGAACAATCAGCATTCATTTGACCAGTTTTTGTTCTTTTTCCCGGACTACAGGCTGCTGCTGTGGAGAAGAAGATGCAGAGTCCCCTTTACAACAGAGTGTTTTTGAAAGCCTGTCACAGACCAGGACTTCCTGGCCAGCTTCATCTTCCCCAAAGACCCGCTGCAAGATTTATAGCCCCATACTGAAACACATTTCTCTCATGGCTGAGCATCAGGGAACTCAACCCAGTCAAAAGTTGTTCAGGTATGGAGCATGTGCAGAAAGACTTTATTTCAGTGCAAAGCAGCAGCATCAGGAGCAGCACATGGGAGAAAAATGCTTCAGAAGCAGTTTAGATGTAGCCTCGTTTGGTCAGAATGGTTGTTTCCAAGAGTTACGAGAACCTTTTGAGTTTGAGGAAAGTGGGAGTGACTCTCTGGCCATCTTAGGACGGCTCCAAGAACAGAACACTCTAACTAGGGATAAGTCAAAGGAAAACATCCAGCATAGAACATTACAAGGCAAAAGTCCCCGCACTTTGGAAGAATGCAAGAAAACCTTTGATCCCAAACATACACTGGTTCCAGATCAGAATGTTCAGAATGGACAAGAGGTTTTTATGTGCAGTATATGTGGGAAAACCTTCAGATACAAATTATCATTTATTATGCACCAGAGACTGCATAATGGAAAAAAGCTTTATAATTGTAGTGAATGTGGTAAATCTTTTAAGTTAAGTTCAACCCTTAATCAACATCAAAGAATTCATTCTGGGGAAAGGCAGTACAAGTGCAGCAAATGTGGGAAGTCGTTAAGCCAAAAATCTGCACTCATTTATGCCCAGAGATGTTACAACCAAGAAAACTGCTATGTGTGCAGTGACTGTGCAAAATATAAAAGCTATAGTTCAGTGTTCATTCGCCATAGGAAAGTTAAGACTGGAGAAAAGCCTTACAAGTGTAGTGACTGTGGGAAATCTTTTACCTCTCTTTCTGCCCTTAGTTATCATCAGAGATCTCACACAGGAGAAAGGCCTTATGAGTGTGCAGAATGTGGGAAATCCTTTATTTCTAAGCCTGACCTTCGTTATCATCAGAGAGTTCATTCTGGAGAAAGACCTTTTGAGTGCAATGAATGTGGGAAATCTTTTATCACTCGTACTGCTCTTCGTTACCATCACAGAGTTCACACTGGAGAAAGGCCTTATGAGTGTACTGAATGTGGGAAGTCCTTTACCAGAAGAAATAACTTAATTATACATCTAAGAGTTCACTCAGGAGAAAGGCCTTTTGAATGTAATGAATGTGGAAAATCTTTTACATTCAGCTCCAGCCTTCGCTATCATCACAGAGTCCACACTGGAGAAAAGCCTTATGAGTGTACTGATTGTGGAAAATCTTTTAACAATAGGTGGACACTCATTCGACACCGAAGAATTCACACTGGGGAAAAACCGTATATGTGCAATAAGTGTGGGAAGTCTTTTACCTGTAGCTCCACCCTCCAGTATCATCAAAGAGGTCACCTTGGAGAACGACCTTATGAGTGCAGTGAGTGTAGTAGGTCTTTTACCACCAGCTCTGCCCTCCGTTATCATCAGAGTGTTCACTCAGGAGAAAGACCTTATAAGTGCACTGAATGTGGAAAATCTTTTATCTCTCGCTCTGACCTTCGTTATCACCAGAAAGTTCATTCTGGAGAAAGGCCTTATGAGTGTAATGAGTGTGGAAAATCCTTTATTCGAAGAAATAACCTCACTTTACATCAGAGAGTTCACACAGGAGAAAGGCCATACCAGTGCAATGAATGTGGGAAATCTTTCAATAATAAGTGGACACTTATTCAGCACCAGAGAGTTCACACAGGAGAAAAGCCTTATGTATGCAATGAGTGTGGGAAATCTTTTACCTGTAGTTCCACCCTCTGTTATCATCAGAGAGTTCATGCAGGAAAACGACCTTATGAATGCAGCGAATGTGGGAAATCATTTACTTCTAGTTCCACTCTTCGTTATCATCAGAGAGCTCACACAGGAGAAAGGCCTTATGAATGTGGTGAATGTGGGAAAACTTTTACTTTCAGTGCTAGCCTCCGTTACCATCACAGAGTTCACACTGGAGAAAGGCCTTATGAGTGCAATGAATGTGGGAAATCCTTTAAAGATAAATCCCAATTCAATAAACACCAGAGAGGTCACACTGGTGAAAGACCTTATGAGTGCAGTGAATGTGGGAAAGCCTTTATCCACAAATCTTCCCTCTCAATACACCAGAAAATTCATGATAGAGACAGGTCTTATGCGTGTAGGGCATGTGGGAAATCTTTTACCTCTCTCTCTGGCCTCAGTTATCATCAGAGAGTTCACAAAGGAGAAAAACCTTATGTGTGTGGTGAATGTGGGAAATCTTTTACTAACAGCTCAATTCTGATTCGACACCAGAGAGTGCACACTGGAGAAAGGCCATATGTGTGCAATCAATGTGGGAAATCATTTACCAGTAGTGCCACCCTCTCTTACCATCAGAGAGTTCATGCAGGAAAACGACCTTATGAGTGCAGTCAATGTGGGAAATCTTTTACGTCTAGTTCTACCCTCCGTTACCATCAGAGAGTTCACTCTGGAGATCGTCCTTATGAGTGCAATGAATGTGGAAAATCATTTATCACTAGCTCCAAACTACGTTACCATCAAAGAGTTCACACTGGAGAAAGGCCATATGAGTGCAGTGAATGTGGCAAGTCATTTAGAGATAGTTCCCAATTCAGTCAGCATCGAAGAGGTCACACTGGAGTAAAGCCTTATGAATGCACTGAATGTGGAAAGTTTTTTATGCGAAAATCTACCCTCTCTCAACATCAGAAAGTTCACACTAGAGAAAGAACTTAGACGTGATATGAATGTGCAGTTCATTATAATAATACCAGAGAACTCTTGAAAGTATCTGTCTGAGTTGGATTTCATGCACCTGAACATGATTAGTGGGCATTCTCCACAATTTCAGTTATTTGGGAAGGCTCTTAAGTCATACTTCGTACACTTCCTAAGGTTCTTTACGAACTTTTGTCACCACTGATTTGTGTGGCAAAAGCTATTTCACAACTCTGCTCTCTGGCAGAGAGTACATCAGTCAACTTCCAGTGTTCTCAAGAAAGCTAATTGTTCCTCCATATATTGAAGCAGATTAACCTGAACCCTTAGGATATCGGCTTTACCACCCCATGTTGAAGCAGGCATGAGCCTGAATCAGTGTTAACTCCAGACAGTACCATGTCTCAAGCTGACAGCTTACAGAGAATAACTAACTTCTCCAGGGATATATTCTGAAATTTTTTACCTTTCACTTTGGACCTGCCTAACACATAGCGTTTATTTGTACAATGATCACAGCCTCACCATTTACATTCTCTTTAATCTTGGATGTTCTGTTTACCTTGTGAGTAATTTATTTTATTTTATTTTTTGGCTTTTTGGGTCACACCCGGCGATGCACAGGGGTTACTCCTGGCATTACACTCAGGAATTGCTCCTGGTGGTGCTCAGGGGACCATATGGGATGCTGGGAATTGAACCTGGGTCGGCTGCATGCAAGGCAAATGCCTTACCCGCTGTACTATCGCTCCAGCCCCACTTGTGAGTAATTTATAGATTTAGCCTCTTAAAAGTATGAAGGGGGATGAACAACTCTTTCAAACTTCCTCCTCTGTCTGAAGAGTGATAGTGTGATGGCAGAAAATGACTTGCTAACTGAACAGTTTTACTTTCTTGCCCATAATCTCCTACGTGGCTCTGCGCTCTGCTCCACAGAAGGCATGGATGCTGCAAGTTTTAGGCAGCTCAGTGATCATAGGGAAAGGTATGAGAAATTTTAAATGTTTTTGAAACTATGATTTCCCCCCATTTCTCAAGGCATGATCACCATTGCAGTACTGTGTCCTGAGTCCCCGGTACACTTCTGCAGGATCACTGATAAGTGGTCAGCACCAAATATCACAAGTACAGAATTCATGAGAGTGGGGAAGAGGAAGTTAATGTCAACCTGATGGGATGTGTCTGTGACAGTGACTATAGGATCAGAATGTACTCAACACTCTGGATCAACATGTACTCAAAATTGTGGACCTCCTGGCTTGTTCCACCGAAGTCATTGTCAAAAAATAGTATCCACGATTAGGGTTTTTTTGGTTTCTTTTTAAAATTTTTTTTATTTATTTATTTTATTATTTTTTTTTGCTTTTGCGGTCATACCCAGTGATCCTCAGGGGTTACTCCTGGCTCTGCATCAGCAACTACTCCCGGTGGTACTCAGGGGACCATATGGGATGCCAGGGATTGAATTTGTGTTGGCTGCGTGCAAGGCAAGCGCCCTACAAGCTTTGCTATTGCACAGCCCCTCAACCATTACTTTTTGTAGATACATGTAACTGTTCAGTGTTACCAGAAGGCATTAATACCCAGGAATGGAGGAGGGAAGAAGGGATTTGTAGTCCCTACATGGGTATGAGAAAATACATGGGAAAGACAATATTGGGCTATCAGGTTTGTTATCATATTTTAAAATACGACTTACATGTAATAGCCTGCATATAGTTAATGTGTAATACTTTATGGGTTTTTTTTTTGGGGGGGGGTGTGATACTGGATATCAAATCCAGGACCTCCTATGTGCAAGACAAGTACTCTTCCAAAATGGATCTACCACTAGATCCATCACCAGGCAGCATTTGATGAGTTTTGACATGCATATAAACTGGAATTCAAGGCCAGGATAGATGATAGGAGGTAAGGTACTTGCTCTGCATGTGTCTGACCCCGGTTTGAATTCCAGGCACACTACATGGTCCTGTGAGTTCTTAGGAATTACTCCTAAACACAGGTCAAGAAATATATCCTGATTACCACCAGGTGTGGCTCCAAAATTGGAATAAATAAAATTTGAATCTTGATTAAGTCCATATAATGACAATATTTGTCAAGGTCTTTTTATATTATGTCGCTCATCCCACTAATTCATAAAATCATTGTTTTACTTTTGCACTTTCAAGTCAAAGCGTTATTCATTCTAATGAGCTCTTTTTGTTTTGAAGCCTCTTATCAGTGCCTCACGTGGGTGCTGGTGTATTCCTGGCTCAATACTCATCACTCTTAGCAGGGGTCATTGGTTGTTCCAGGGGTTGCTCTGGGATGCCCTGCTGGGGATCAAATCCAAGCCTTCCAGACACGAAGCATGGGCACAAATACTGTATTGCTTCCCTAGCCCTCTTTTCATTGGTTTTGAATAATAGTCCTAATTTTAGTGTATTCCATACTTAATTTATTGGTTTACACTTTTTTTGGTGTTTGGTTTATTTTAAATTTTGAGTATTTTAAAGCTGGTGCAAACATTTTGCTATTTATGTTAAGTTTTTTCTTTCATTTTTTTAATTTTGTCTCTTTACAGGACTCTTGTCAATAATGTAGATTGTAGTATATGAGTCACAAGGTAGATGAATATTTAATTTTTGCAGAACATACAAATAAGATCCAAAGTTGTTATACTATTTCCATTTACCAATGGTATTTCATTTCTTTGGTATTTCACTGAATACTTGGTTTGGCGAATTATTTTCATTTTGACCCTTTTAAATTTTTGTTTCAATGAGACTAATTTTTCTTTTAACTGCATTTCCATAGAGTTTCAAGGATAGTTTTTCAGATGTTCATCTTGGAGATGTGTCTTGTTAAATTGCAATAGAGGGGTGTTGGTAAAGTTCCACTAGGAAATATCTGGGCTCCTTTCTACTTTTGGTTGACATAGGGCTGGTAATGGTATTTACGTTGGTTCCAGGAGGCTCAGTTATAGTGACAAAACAAAATACTTTAATACTAATTTATAGTTTTCTGTACTTTATAATTTGTTTTAAAAATTGTTATTAATATCCTAGTTCTGATTTCCTCCCTACTGAAATACCCACCTCAACCAAATCAAGTTTCTTTTATGGCTCTGTTTTATAGCAAGGCATGAAGTTAATCTTGTTGATATTTCTAGGGGGTATTTATAATTGTACTGGGGTTTCTTGTTGTAGCTTCTGCTACCGTCGTAGTATATAGGGATTTCTATTGGTATTTAGTGCCAGAGTGCTAAGTAATTCTAAACCTCCTTCCAATAAAACATTATTATAAAAAGTGCTCAAAATCTTGGAAATATCAACAGCATGACTTCTCATTCACACACTGGGAGGTCTAGTCTGCCTTTTATTAGTGATAAAAATTAACTGAATGGTTATTATTCAGACTTATGAAAGAATTTGTTCTATTAGTTTAAAGCTAGATTGGTTTTTTAATTTTATTTTTTCCTTTTTGGGTCACACCCAGGGGTGCACAGGTGTTACTCCTGGCTTATGTACTCAAAATCACTCCTGGCGGTGCTCTGGGAACCATATGGGATGCTGGGAATCGAACACCTGCATTCGATTCTTCTGCCCCTCTCAGAGAGCTCAGCAAGCTACCGAGAGTATCTAGCCCGCACAGCAGTGCCTGGCAAGCTAGTCGTGGTGTATTTGATATGCCAAAAACAGTAATAACAAGTCACAATTTGTTGTGAGACGTTACTGGTGCCCGCTTGAACAAATTAATGAACAATGGGAGGACAGTGCTACAGTTCTGATTTTATAGAATGCCATGTAAATCAGTGTATTTATTGTGAAATTTTACCAAATCCATGAATGTATAATGCTACACCTTAGTTTTTATTTTTCATTTTTAATTGTGGTTTCTATTATTATGAATACAATAATGTTTCATGGTTTTGATTAACAGAATTATTGCACCTTCACCAACATCTGGATTTTCTCCTTACGCATCTCTTGTTCACCTCTTTTTTCCTCACTTCCTGACCTTGTTTTTCCTCTGAATCACTTACCACTGTAATCAACACTAAGAGCAAAAGCATCAGTTGGTAAATGATCTCAGAAAATAGTTTTTTGGGGTTTGATTTTGGTTTGGGGGCCACACATTGCTCAAGGGCTACCTCTAGATCATTGCTTGAGTGTCACTTCAGGACTCTCGAGATCATGCAGTGTTGGGGATCAAACTTAGGACTCCTATATGCAAATCAGGTTTATTGGTCTCCACAGCCCTTTTAAGAAATATTTTAATTCTATTTGGTTTTGGAGCATGTACTTGGAACATGGTTTTGGAACCTGGTGTTCAGGATTCCTCTTGGCTGTACATGGGATAACAGGTGGTGCTGCCATGCTCTGAAGTCTGTTGAGCCATCTCTCTGCTCCTCAGAAATATTTTTACTTATTTAGTACTAAAAAATCTTTTTCCTGTTGTCTGCTTGCCATAACTGTTGAATTATCTTCATAAGTTTTGCAAAAAAAATTCTGTTTGTGTTAGAGAAATGTAAAGTCGGAACCAGAGCAATAGTGCACATGGGGTGTCTTACATGTGGCTGATGCAAGTTCTATCCTTGGCATCCCGTTATAATCCCTTGAGTACCCATTACCACGAGTGATTCCTGAACATTGCCAAGTGGGGCCCTAAAACAAAAAGAAAAGCAAAATTATTAATCCAGTTACTTTGTTAATTCAGGTATTTAGGTATTTTTTACTTATTAAAAGTAATCCTTAGCGTGGCTGGAGCGATAGCACAGCAGGTAGGGCATTTGCCTTGCACAGGGCCAACCCTGGTTCAATTCCCACATCCCATATGGTCCCCTGAGCACCGCCAGGAGTAATTCCTGAGTAGAGCCAGGAATAATCCCTGTGCATCGCCGGGTGTGACCCAAAAAGAAGGGGAAAAAAGGGTCAGAGAGATAGTATAGCAAATGACATTTGCCTTACACATTGTTACCCAGGGTTGATCCTGAGTATCACATATGGTTCTCCAAGCACTGCCAGAGCCTGAGGGCAGAGCTAGGGATAATTCCTGAGTATTAATGGGTGTGGCTTCAAAACCAAAGAAAGAAATGTACCCTGTTCCTCTCTTGCCTCTGAAGCACCTCCAGGAGTAATTCCTGAGAATCACCAGATGTGGCCAAAAATTTCCCCTTTCTCCCCCCCAAAAAAGTCATCCTTAGGCCTTAGAGGTAGTATAGTGGGTAGGGTATTTGCCTTGTATGTGGCCAACTCGAGTTTGATCCCCAAAATAACAAGTCATTTTTCCCTCTTAGATCCTCAAAAAAAAAAATGCAGAGGAAGTTTTGAGATTCTGCGGTCACACTTAGAGATGCTCAGGAGCTATTCCTGGAGCAATGCCTTGGATTAAATTGAGCTCCTGCAGGCAAAACAGTACAAGTTTTATATATATATAGAGAGAGAGAGAAAGAGAGAATGGTTTGGAGATGTATTTTGGGTTCGATTCTCAAGCAGTGCTCAAGAGTTATTCCTGGTTGTGCAGACAGGATCACTCCTGAAGGGCCCAGGGGACCATAGGGGTTGCTGGGAGTCAAACGAGGTTATCTGCAATGCAAGTACTCTACCCCTTGTACTATTCCTCCAGCCTAGTTTCTGAAAATGTTAATAAAATGCCTACAGCATTGCTATTTACTTGGATTGTGTGTTTATAATTATTCTTAAAGAAAATAACTTTCAGTATTAAAATAACTATTGCAAGTGATTTAAAAAGAATTCTTAAATCTAGAGAAACCTGAAAGAAAAACTTGAAAGTACACTTACTGGGATCAGAGGTCTGGATAAGTTGTTTGCCTTGCATGCCCATTCTGCTACTTGGTTCGATCTTTGGTGCCATGTGAGTGATCCTTGACCATAGAGCCCGGGCAAATTCTGAGAAACCTCCATGTATGGTGCCAAAATTTAAATTAAAAAAAAAATAGTACACTAGGAAAACTCACTAGCAAGCCACAGAGGGTACATCTGGTAAAGCATTTTCCTTGCAAGCAACTGACCAGGTTTGGTCCCCAAAACCTACAGTTATTCCAGAGCACAGAGCTAGGCGTAACACAGCTGGTTTGTCCAAAAGCAAACAGCTTTCTGCAAGAACCTGAATTAGACATTTTGTTAGAACTCTGTGGGTAATCTGTAAGAGGAAGAATTGAGGTGGCGGGTATGTACTTGAGAGATAGTATGAATAAGGTGCTTTCCTTCCATGTGGCTAACCCAGGTATGATTCCTGGCGTCCCGTATGGTCCCCTGAGCAAGGCCAGTACAAAAGTAATTCCCGAGTGCAGAGCCAGGAGAGGTGTGGTTGTGGGGCCTTCAATGGATCAGCCTAGCTCATTTAGATATTTCAGAAGGCGGTCACTTGACTTGGGTTCCTGTTTTATTCCCTAATGCCACATGGATTTACCTCTGCGGAATGCACGTCTCCCGAGGGGTCTTTGGTCAAGCTCACGCTGGACTACATTTCCCAGGATCCTCTGAGTCGGGCGGCAGCGTTACTATCCAATGAACGCTCTAAGGAGAGGAGGTTTCTCTGCGTCTCATACGTGAGCGCAGGACTTTCGTCAGCCTCTTGGCGTCTAGGTTAGGAATTAGGCCTTTTGTTTTATCAGTGTTCGGAACAACTGGGGAGACTCGATCTGGGAGTTCGGCAGAGCAGGTGTGAGGCTGGGCGACGCCTTTCGGACCCGCGCTAAGATGGGTTGGAACCTCAGCTCCCTTTAGCCCGTGCCCCGCCTCTCCCATGGCAGCCGCAACGCGGAGGGTCTCTAGGACCCCAGTTCAGGTAAAGGCTCGACTCTGGGTAGTCAGCTCTCCCCCTCCAGTCCTCAGGACCCTAGGCCAGGCAGGGCAGCACAGAGGCCTGTTTTCTCATGTGCTGTAGCTCTAATGGGCCGTCTCCCCATTTGGGAAGATGCTCCTGTTCCGGAAGGGAGGTTCGCCTTGGACCGTAAGGGCGGTGTCTGCGCTGTTCCCGCACTGCAGGTGCAGCTGAGTCAGAGTGGAGTCGATGGTCTGTTTGGGCGCAGAGGAGGCAGCTAGTCCACCAAGGCTCCAGTGCTCTCCAGCCGACGGAGACAGCATTTTTCAGGTTATGATGGTGGAGACCTGGGAAAGGCAGAGAGCAGATACAGCCCCCATGTGACAGTTAGTGTACCGGGAGAGAGAGGCATCTTCTGCTCCTGGACGTCTGTTCAAAAGACCGCAGATTATTGGTGGGGGGGGGGGGGGGGGGAGGGGGTGGAGGCGGGCGTACACCCAGCAATACTTAGGGATTACTCCAGACTCTGCACTTAGGAATCACTCCTGGTGATTCTTGGGGGACCATATGGGATGCTGAGATCAAAACCCGGTCAGCTGCGTTCAAGTCAAGCGCCCTACCCACTGTACTGCCTCTATGGTCTCAAAGTACATTTTCTTTTAAACTATCTTCAACAATTATTTTTTCTCTTTTGGGGGTAAGAGTATTTGGACCACATCAGGTTCTTTTTATCCAAGTTTTGATGTTGCATATGTCATCCTTAGTGGGACTCAGGTGACATACAGTGATTGGGGGTTGAACCTGGTCCTATTATATGCAAAGTATGTGTTCAAGTCCTCTGATCCAGCTCCCCAGTTGCTCAGGGATCACTCCTGATGGTGTTCATGCACTATATAAAGTGCTAAGGATTGAATCCTGGTTGATTGCCTGCAAAGCATGCACCTGCCTTTGCTGTACTATTTCCCTGGCACTCTGACAAACACTTTACCCCTGTACTCCCTAAAGCACCCTCAAAGGTATGTTTTTCTAATATGAACCATGATTGAATGAAAATGAGAACTTGAATATTCTAGGGTTTTATTTTTCTTAGTCACCATGAAAAAGGAATCTCCATAGATTGAAATGAAGTTGGTAGTAGGAATATTATTCACAGGAAATAGCAGGAGCTTCTTAGATGTTTGAAAAACAGAAAGGTGAGCAAGTGAGCTGGGATGTTGAAGAATGATGACCTTGCATATGAGGCCCTGGGGTCAAACCTCGGTTACCCCTCGGCCCCCCTGTAGAGTAGTGAGGAGCTCTACTCAGGCTTTGAGATCCTGTAAAGGATTCAGGGTGGCAGCAGCATGACTGTTTGGACCAAGGTAAATGAGCTATTTGTTACATATAGGAAAAGTTATTTTCTGGTTAATCTGGTAAAACTGTTAGGGTGCCAGAAAATGGGGAAAGTTAGGGGATCAGCACTAGGTGTCTTGCTTAGTTACATGGGTAACGGTGAAGGATATAAGTAATCATGAAGTGAGTTGGAGAAATGGTACAGCAGATATGGAGTTCTCCTTTCATGCAGTGACCTGGTTTGATCCCTGGCACCACAAACAGTCTCCTGAACTATTCCAAGACTGATCTCTCAGAACAGAACCAAGAACAGCGTTGGTGGCAAAAAAAACAGAATCTCCAAAAATCATGACGCAAACCATGAAGGAAGAGTTGTTCTGGGACAGGTAGCAGGCAGTAAAGGTATTGATAGTGAAGTGGATTGTATGCAGAGGGTCTCAAGCAATAGCACAGCAGCTAGAGCAGCTAGGGCATGTGACAACCCAGGTTCCATCCCTCATTAGGTCCCCGCGCACCTCCAGGGGTGATTCCTGAGTGAGAGCCAGGAGTAACCCCTGAGTATCACTGAGTGTGGCCCAAAACAACAGAAATGAATGCAGAAACTTAATAGCAGTGAAGATTGGGTAGTGCTCAGGGTTGAGGTGGTACTTAGCTACTGCAATAGGACCAAGATTTTGTGATGATTTTGGTGAGGACCCCACTGAGTTAATATAAACCAATGGCAGGAACCAGGAGATCCCCATTCTTCATTATATTATGTATCTATATATCTATATATCTATATCTATATCTATATCTATATATCACTGTCCTCCCGTTGTTCATTGATTTTCTCGAGCAGGCCCAGTAATGTCTCCATCATGAGACTTTGTTGTTACTGTGTTTGGCATATTGAATACATCACGGGTAGCTTGCCAGGCTTTGCCATGAGGGCGAGATACTCTCGGTAGCTTGCGGTAGCTTGCCAGACTCTCCGAGAGGGGTGGAGGAATCAAACTTGGGTCAGCCATGTGGGCTGGCGTGCAAGGCAAATGCCCTACCCGCTGTGCTATCGCTCCAGCCATATATATATATATGTATATATATATATACACACACACATATATATGTATGTATATATCACCATGAGAAACATTTATACACTTACAGACTTTCATGATTATGTTTCAGTCATACAATACCATTCCTTCACCTGTGCTCATTCTTCACCACCAATGTTCCCAGTATCCCTCCTACCACCCCCACCCCATTCCCCCATTTTTTCTTTTATCTTATTTTTGGTGGTGCTGGGGACTGAACCCAGACCTCATGAATGTATGGCATGTGCTCTACTGATGCACTACATCCCCAGCCCAAACCTTACCCTCATGATTCTGTATTCTTTGCATCCTGCAGGCTGTCTGTCCATTCCTTTGGAAGCAGTCTCTCTCAGTGGGTAGGGTGCCCTCCTCCGTTATGTGATCAATAAACTACTATCCATCTCCTTTTGACAGGGTCAGTGTTGTGTGATTGGCTAGCCCTGTAACCCCAAGATGGGAATTGTGCCCTCACCCATGCAGAGAAGAGTAGGTGATAAAAATACAAGCAACATGGTGGGCAGGAATCGTCTTGTGGGTGGGACTGTGTTATCATAGGTATGTGGCTATGGGATTCACTCACAAAAGTCATGCTTGCTTTGAGAGGCAGTAGGACTGATCCTAGGTCCCTTACATGGTAATGTCACTTACATGACATTAGCCACTCCAACAAAATTGTCTGGTGTGATTCAGTGCTTGACTGAGAGCTTTGCTATCTGCTTGTTCACGAACTACTATTTAATGATGGCTGGTCCATGTGATCAGTGGGCTTAAGATCTCAGGGTACTAGGGGGATGGGCATAGTGAGGAAGGGATTGAGAGTTCTCCAAGAGGCTTGCAGTGGTTCGTCTGTTCCCATCTTGTCAGGGTAGAGTGACCTTTGAAGATGTGGCTGTGTACTTCTCCTGGGAGGAATGGGATCTGCTTGATGAGACTGAGAAATGCCTGTACCACGATGTGATGCTGGAGAACTTGGAACTTATAACCTCCCTGGGTAAGGTCTTGAGCTAGTCTGCCTTTCCTTTCCATCCCTAAGAGCACATCTAGCATCGGTTCAAGATCTGGGCTTTGCTTCCTTCCCAGGGCCCCTGGGTAGGTGTTGTGCTTGCTTGGGTTGAGTTCTGTGCACTGCTTCTCTCCCGCTTGGAGCAAGGTCCTAGCTTCTGTGCACAATCAGAGTTAGGAGTCTTATATTGAACCTGATGGAAATTAACTATCTTACTTGCCTCTGCCTTTGTCCAGATGCTAGTGTGCTGCAGTTCTATATCCTTCTATTTTGGGGTCACACCCGGCAGTGCTCAGGCTACTCCTGTCTGTGTTCAGTTAGAAGCCACGTGGTATCAGAAATCGAACCCAGGGCTCACACACATAGCATGTACTCCAACACATTTTGTTATCTCTCTGGCCTCCTACTTTCTGTTAAGTGACTTTTTTTGTTTTATTTAGGTTTTTTGTTTGTTTTGCTTTTGGGTCACACTCAGTGATGTTCATAGATTTCTCCTGGCTCAGAACTCAGGAATTACTCCTGGTGCTGTTTGGGGAACTGTATGGGGTGCTGGGGATTGAAACCAGGTTGGGCACATGCAAGGCTAGTGCTTAACTTGCTGTACTACAGCTTCAGCTCTTAGGTGACATTTTCTTATGTTTTCTGGTCAGAACTTACCCTGACATAGTGAACATTCCAGGCCCTCCCCTTTTTTTGTGGGGGAGGGGGCAGGTGGAGGGATGGTGATGGGCAATACTTCCAAGCAGTGCCAGGGGGACTGGGCAATTCTTGACCAGCCAGGCCAGTGAATTAATACGAGGACCTGAGTAAGTACTATTCCTGGGTCTTGTATTACTAGGACTTACCTTAGTAGTGTTTGGGCCTTCAGGGCTACACCCTGCAGTGCTTGAAGCCTTATGGTATCAGTGATGAAGGTCAACTGCATGCAAGATATGTCTTAATTCTTGTGCTGTAATTCTAGCCCCAGGAGCCTCTTGTGAAGTGTTCTGTAATATTTCATTTCCTATCACAATCATTATTCTGGGTTATAGGCTGGTTTTGACTGTTCACTGGTCCTGTCTTCCCTTCAGTACTTGTACTATCAAGGGTCATGTATTTGCTTATTGAGGAAGTGGAGTTGGGTTGAAGAACCCACTTTGAGTCAAATGATGTACGTGAATCTACTCACAGCAAGGAGCTCAAAAGGAGATGATGTCAGAGCCGTGTCAGAGTCACAGCAGAAATCAGCACTCTGTCCGATATTACCAGTGCCATTGACTAATCTCACTTCCTTTGTTGGTACTCAGCAACAGTACTCATAACTTCTTCTATTGGGGAAGGGTGGGAAGGTCTCGCCAGGTGCTCAGGAGTCCCAGGAATCTTTCCCTACAGTTCTCCTGTTCACTGCACAGGCTCAGAAATGTGGTGCTGGTAATTCCCTGGGCCATCTCTGCAGTGCTCAGGAGCCTCCAGGGCCACACCCAGCAACGCTTTCCTGGGAACTTGTGGTGCCAGGATTGAACAGGGATGGCCAGATGCACGAAATGAGCCGTAGCGCCCTTGTCTCTCTGGCCTCCCTTGTAGTGTATCCTTGACTTCTATTCTGAGGCTACTGTTCCATTTAGAGTCCATGTCTTCTTGTTGTTTTGTTTTGATGTCTCAATTTCTTTGTTTGTTTGTTTTTGTTTTTGGGCCACACTTGGGAATTACTCATGGCTCTGCACTCAGGAATTGTTCCTGGCAGGCACAGGGACCATATGGGGTGCAGGGGATTGAACCCAGTTGGGCTGCGTGGAAAGCAACCACCCTACCCACTGTACTATCTCTGTCCCCTCACTTGTTTTTCTTAACCACTCAATCTGCTTTACTTTCTTCTTTGGTCCCTATGTGTTACATTATGAAGAGTATCAGTATTCTTAATTCTTCTTCTCTTATTAAGTTTTTAAAATTGAAATTCCATAGGGCCAGAGCAATAGTACAGCAGCTAAAGCTCAGATTCCTGAGACAGAGCCAGGAGTATTACCCCTGAGCATTGCTGGGTATGATCCAAAAAAAAAAAAAAAAAAAAAATTCCATGAATTAAAAAGTTACAAGGATATTTGTGATGAGTTTCAGGTGTATGAAGTTTCAACACCAATTTGTTCACTAGTATTTAAATAATTCTTAAGTACTAGCTTTAGAATTTAACAATATGACTAGCTGCATTGTCATATTTTCTCAAATCTTAACATTTTTCTGCACATTATTATAGCAGAAAAGTTTTTTTGAAATTTGTTTGTAGAGAGCAAATTGTATTTTGTATCATAGCACATGGTTGTGTTCTTTGCCTTGTGGGGCCTTTTCTGTTCTGTACAGTTGATTTAATTTTTTAATTTTTGGTTTTGGGCCATACCCAGAGGTGCCCAGGGGTTACTTCTATCTCTGCACTCAGGAATCACTTCTGGCAGTGCTTGGGGAACCATATGGGATGTATGAGATGCCGGAGATCAAACGTGGGTCAGCTACATATAAGACAAAAGCCCTAACTGTCTGTACTATTGGTTGTTGTTGTTATTGTTGTTGTTTTGTCTTTTTGGGTCACACCCAGCAATGCTCAGGGGTTACTCCTGGCTCTCTACTCAGGCTGAGGCGATCATATGGGATGCCAGGCATCAAACCCCGGTTGGCCATGTGTAAGGAAATGCCCTACCTCTGTACTAGCACTCTGGCCCCAAAACAACCCCAAGCTTTATCTGAACAACTTTCATACCTTGTGAACAATATTGTGGGCTTGTTCCTGGATTTGTTAGATGTACATTTATGTAGTCAACATATACTTTACCAACATTTCTTCTTTTCAGGTTGTTGGTGTGAAGCAGAAAATGAGAAGGCACCTTCTAAGAAAAGAATTTCTATACAGGGATTGTCACAGGTTGTAGCACCCATAGCAAATGTGTCTCCACAGAAGACTCATCCCTGTGAGGTGTGTGGCCCAGACTTAAGAAATATTTTGCATTTGAATGAGCACCAGTGGATACTTTGTGGGCAGAAATGCTACAAGATTCAGGCATGTGAGAAACAATTGTGTTTCTGTGCCAGACTTCACCAGAAGCAGCACAATGAAGAGAAATGTTGCAGAAGTAATGTGGTTGAAGTTTCATTTCAAAAGGACTACCAGTCCAGTTTGTCAGAGGACCCTGTTTCCTATAAGGAGCTTGGGAGGGACTTCCTTGATAGTTCAGCTTTTCAGCAGCAGATTACACAGGCCAGGGATAAGTCAGACAGGAACAATGAAGGTCGAGCAGCCACACACAAGGAAAGTACCCTTAACTCTGGAGAATGCAGAAAAGATTTCAGTTACAAATACACACATGTACGTTTCCAGAGAGTCCTCCCTAGAGAAAGATGTTATGTGTGCAGTGAATGTGGGAGATCTTTTAACAAGAGCTACAGCCTCAATGACCATTGGAGAGTTCACACTGGAGAAAAGCCATATGCATGTGGGGAGTGTGGGAAATCCTTTAGGCAGAGCTCTAGCCTCATTCAGCACCGGAGAGTTCACACTGGAGCAAGGCCACATGAGTGTGATCAGTGTGGGAAATTATTTAGCAATAAGTCCAACCTCATTAAGCATCGGCGAATTCACACTGGTGAAAGGCCATATGAGTGCAGTGAGTGTGGGAAATCCTTTAGTGAAAGCTCTGCACTCCTTCAGCACCACAGTGTTCATACTGGAGAAAGGCCATATGAGTGCAGTGAATGTGGGAAGTTCTTTACTTACCACTCTAGTCTCATAAAGCACCAGAGAGTTCACTCTGGATCAAGACCCTATGAGTGCAATGAATGTGGAAAATGCTTTACTCAAAACTCTAGCCTCATTGAACACCATCGAGTTCATAGTGGGGAAAGACCTTATAAATGTAATGAATGTGGGAAATCTTTCAGCCAAAGCTCTGCACTCCTTCAGCATCGGAGAGTCCACACTGGAGAAAGGCCCTACAAGTGCAGTGAATGTGGAAAATTTTTTACTTACAGCTCCAGTCTCTTAAAACACCAGAGAGTTCATGCTGGATCAAGGCCCTATGAGTGCAGTGAATGTAGGAAGTCCTTTACTCAAAACTCTAGCCTTATTAAGCACAGGAGAATTCACACTGGAGAAAGACCTTATGAGTGCAATGAATGTGGGGAATCTTTTGGCAATAGCTCTAGCCTCATTAAGCACCAGAGAATTCACATTGGAGAAAGGTCTTAGTAGTGCAGGGAGCTTGCAAAATTGTTTAGCCATAGCTCCAAATCAGTGACTGCCATAATGTTCACCCTGAATAAAGACTTTCTGAGTATTCGAACATGGACAGTTATTTCCTTCCAAGTCCTTATGTTGAATGAAGAGCTGTGAGTGTGTTGGGTGTGGGAGACATCTAACCAAAATCTAGTTTTTTAGCAGTGAATAGAATTCACACCATAGAAAGACCCAGTAAACGCAATGAATGAAGAAAGCCTTCAGTTGAGGGCTTGCCTCTTAAATGTGTAGATGCTAGTTCGTTATTTGATTTACCAACTTTGGAAATATCTTAGGAAGTTGCCACATGCTTGTGTTGAACCTCATACATCTGAGTAGCACTGTAGCACTGTTCTCCCGTTCATCGATTTGCTTGAGCGGGCCCAATAACATTTCCGTTGTGAGACTTGTAACTGTGTTTGGCATATCGAATATGTCACGGGTAGCTTGCCAGGCTTTGCTGTGCAGGCGAGATACTCTCGGTAGCTTGCTGGGCTCTACTTATATAAATTCAGGTATGTGAAAGCCTTATTGTAATTTTTAATCTACTCAGAGCTCTTGCCAGGTATGTTTCACATTTCTGTAGTAGAACTCATTTTACCTTTTTTACCTAGCAAGTCTGCATAGTGTGTTGGATTCTGCCTTCCCAATGTGTTCCTTAGAAGTACAAGCCAGTGTTCTCCCAAGTGTGAAAACTTTACAAGTTCAAGTTATCAGAGCACTTTGTCATTCTTATGACTGTTTTCTTCCCCTCACTAAATTTTTGTTACGAGGGCCAGAGAGATATACACTGGGTAGGGCATTTGCCTTGATTGTGGCCAACCTGGTTTTTCTCCTAAGGATCCCACTGGGTTCCCTAAACATTTCTAGGAGAGATTCCTGAGTGCAGAGCCAGGCATAACCCCTGAGCATCACCAGGTGTGGCCAAACAATAACAACAAAGTGGTTATGACCCTTAACTGGTTTTGTCATCGAGGTCTGTGTTGGTAAATTAAAAGAATGAACTACATTTATTCAGGTTCTTATCATACTCTGATAGAATTTTCCAACCTCCAAGTCACCAGGTTGGGAAGTCAGCCATTCTCTAGTTTATATGATAATAAAAATCGTATTTCAACTGAGGTTAATTCTAGAGTTCTTCTCGTTGTATGGGTGATTTAAGATGAGTTGGATTTGCTAGCATGATAGGGTGAAGAGTTTTGTTTGCAAACTGTGTGCTTTTGAGGTGACAGTTTAATGGCTTAACAGACTGCTACTTCAAGGGAAGGCTGCAGGTCTTTGTGGTTCTAAATTGTAGCTTAGATGGATGCCATGATTAGATTAATGGTTTAACTTCAGGAAAGGGTAGTTGTGACCATATCTGTCTCTATCCATTGCTTTGCAATCAAATACATTTTCTTTCTCTTATTCACAGGATACAGCATTAGGTTTAGTACCGGGAGGAAAATGTTCTCATGTCCTAAATTGTAGTCATGGGTTCCTGTATGCTGAATTCTGTAGGTAACATCATTGGTTTTAGGGTTCTAGGCTATAGATCATTTCATTTATTTTCATTTCATCATCCTGTTATTCGTCGATTGCCTCGAGCAGGCCCCAGTAACGTCTCTTTCATCCTAACCCTGAGATTATATTCAAGGCTCTTTAGGAGAATGAGACCCATCATTGTTACTGGTATTTGGCATATTTGTTATGCCACGGGGGAGTTTGCCAGACTCTGCCCTGTGGGCAGGCTACATTCGATAGCCTGCAAGTTTGTCCAAAGTAGGAATGAGATAGTAAGATGTCATAAAAGATGTCCTGAGAAGATGTCCTGAGAAGATGTTCTAGGCTATAGATGATTGTTACAGAAATATTGGATTAGGTAGGTAGAGTGGAGGAGATTCCCAACAACTGGGTACAAATATGCCTATTTGAAGAGTGTTCTCAGTGTACAGTTATTGTTGCTGTGAACAGTGGGCAGGTTCAGAATTCACAGTACCAGACTGGAGTGATAGTAAAGCAGGTAGCGAGCATACCTTGTATGTGGCCAACCCGAGTTCGATTCCCAGCACCACATATGGTTCTCTGAGCCCACCAGGAGTAATTACTGAGCACAGACAGGAGTAAGCCTTGAGCACCACTGGGTGTGACCTAAAACCCCCAGAAATTCCCTGAAACACTTTTTTGTGTGTGTGTAACTGAAGGCACTGTAATTAAAAAAAAAAACTAAGATAAAGTTTTGTGAAGTTTTGTAACTTTTCAAGAAAATAAGGTAGAAGGATAATTTACTCATTCATTGACACCTGATCTAGCCAGTATTGCCGTGGAATGTAAACAGCTTCATTGCTCTTCTACTTGTGCTGTCAAAAGGGCAAGATGCTTCCCCCACCACACACACACACACATACACACACACACACACATACACATACACACATACACACACATATACACAGAGGACAGAAGGGAATATCTATTTTTCCTTCTTTCTTTGCTTTTCTTTTTTCATTTTATTTTGGTCAAATACTAAATACGTTGCATGGGTATTTTATATAGCATAACTTTTTAGCAGGAATAAATAGGTTTCATCAACCAAAAAATGCTTCCATAATCATTTTTATTCAAACCCTCAGAACACATGGTAACAACTCCAGAATTGTGCCTTTTTCCCCCATTAAATTCCACTGATAACTGGCAACCCTCTCTTCTGCCACTGAGCATCAGGATGAAGACTGCCTATCTTGAGCATAAGCAAGCACACTCCCACCATTGTTAAACGATCACATTGCATCACTGTTGCCTAGGACAATTTCTTGCAGACCTCTTTTTTTTTTTCTTTTTGGGTCACACCTGGCGATGCACAGGGGTTAGTCCTGGCTCTGAACTCAGGAATTATCCCTGGCGGTGCTCAGGGGACCATATGGGATGCTGGGAATTGAACCTGGGTCAGCCGCTTGCGAGGCAAACGCCCTACCCGCTGTGCTATCGCTCCAGCCACTCTTTTTTTTTTAATTATTATTATTAGTGAAACACCATGAGGTACAGTTGTAGATTTACAAATTTTTGTGCTTGGATCTCGGTCATACCACGATCAAATACCCATCCCTCCACCAGTGCCCATTTTCCACCACCAGGATAATATCCCTCCCTCCCATCCCCCCATCCCCCCATCCCCCCCTGCCACTGTGGCAGGGCATTCCCTTTTGTTCTCTCTCTCCTTTTGGGTATTGTGATCAGCAAAAGAGGCATTGAGTGGCGAACATGTTCAGTCCAGTGTACTTTCAACCTGCATCTCCCCTCCTGGGAGGATCCTCCAAACACCCTCCACTTGGTGTTCCCCTTTCTATCTGAATTGTCCTTTCCCCTAGAATACCCGGCTGGCCTCTAAGTTATGTAGTAATTCTCCTGGTGTTGCTCTCAGCTATTCTTGGGTATTAATCTCATATTTTGTTACTTTATATCCCCCAGATGAATGCAATCTTTCTATGTCTATCCCTCTCTTTCTGACTCATTTCGCTTAGCATGATACTTTCCATATTGTACCACTTGTATGTAAAGTTCATGACTTCATCTTTTCTAAGAGCTACATAGTACTCCATTGTGTAGATGTACCAAAGTTTCTTTAACCAGTCATCTGTTCTTGGGCACTCAGGTCTCTTCCAGTTTCTGACTCCAGCCACTCTTGCAGACCTCTTAAAGGTGAACTGGCTCCAAAATTTATTTTCTAGAGTAGGAAATCTTGACTTTTAATGTGGAATATTTCAAACTTTAATAATTTTTAAATCATCTGTATTAAACTTCATATATAAGTGTACAATCTGATACATTTTGACTTTCATATAAATCCAGGAAATCAGGCTAAGGGGGCTGGTGTGCATATTTTACATGTCAAAGGTCTGGGTTCAATCCCAGGTACATTGTTCCCATTGCTAGCACCACTGTGCGAGCCTTCAAAACAAGCATGTGAGTGGCTGGAGAGACAGTGCAACAGGGACCCCTGTTCAAGCCCTACCACCTTATAGGATCCCAAGCTCACCTGGAATGATCCCTGAGCACAGAGCCAGGAATAAGTCCTGAGCACTGCCAAATGTGGTTCAAAAACAAACAAGCTTTTAGCATTGTAATCAAGAGTAAATGTTGCAGCTCCTGGAAGCGCATCAGATGTGGGTAAAGGAATAAAGATTCAATTGCTCCCCTACAGTTATTATCTTATCTGTAGGAATTACTTAGATTTTGCTAATAGGCCTCCAGTGTCTTTTATGGTTAGAGAAGAGATAGTCTGGGATCATACATGTGTCCTGCAGATGTCTGGTAAATTCCTCTCATCTCCAATTCACCAAATCGCTACACAGTGAGTGGTTTTACAAGCAGTTACATATGTTTCTGAAAAAGTCCAATTTGCCCCCCAACAGAACTTGGATACAAGACTCTGGCTGGTCCACAGTGAAGTTATGATCCTTTCCAGCAAGGAGAGTGAATGAGGAAATCAAAAGGTTCAGGTGCTTCTGATTCCCTCAGATGAAATAGAATAAATTCAGACAGTCTGAATAAATTCAGTCCTCCCAAGGACATAGCATATTTCTTGTATATCCAAGGGCTTTTTTTGGTGTGTGGTTCTGTGGTTCAAATACAGGACCTCACACACACAAGACAACTGCTCTGCTGACCTATATCCCCAGGCCTTGAAGGCCTTTCTGAGGTTGAGCTCAGTGTGATAAGCAAGGTTTAACTTCCATATAAAGTATTTCACATATTGTATGCACAAGTGAAGCCTTTACCCAGTGTGCATTCTCTTCTTCAGGAAGCTGGAGTGGAAGTCTAACATTACTCCGGTCACTGTCACTGTCGCTGTCTTCCCATTGTACACTGATTTGCTTGAGTGGACACCAGTAATGTCTACATTGTGAGACTGGTTGCTACTGTTTTTGGCATATTGAATACGCCACGGGGAGCTTGCCAGGCTCTGCTGTGAGGGCGGGATAGTCTTGGTAGCTTGCCGGGTTCTCTGAGAGGGACTGGGAAATCGAACGTGGGTGGGCCGCATGCAAGGCAAACGCCCAATCCACTGTACTATCACTTA